AAAGTTGGGTTTCGAGGAATCTCTTGTTTCATAATTGTTGAGCTTACTTCCATTTCGAGTGAAATTGTTGAGTGCAGAGATTCTAAAGTCGGTTCCACCAGAAGACGATGACGGATTCCTCTTTACCAACTATCGTTTGGCTTTACTTAAAGAATCATGCTGAAGCTGTTTCCGAGGCAATCTCCTTCGATTCCGGTGAAAACGTGCTAAGCTTTCGTCCGTCATATGACGGACGAAAGCTCAGCACCTGTTTCCGAGGCAATCTCCTTCGATTCCGGTGAAAAGGTGCTAAGCTTTCGTCCGTCATATGACGGACATCATCAATGCAAGGTATTATTGTCAAAACAAAATGTAAGCTAACGAGTCAAGAAAACTTAATCCAGACTTCATGAATAGGCCTCGTGGGTATTCTATAAGTTAAATATACCTAATCTTTTCATCCGACTGTTCTGAATATCCCAGCCTCAGCCTCCCTTTGAATTATTTTACATTTTTTCTAGGCGCGATTTTTTCTCTTAAAAGTGGACATAGCAAAGGAGCAAACTCTGAGGATGAACTCCACATTTCAGGGCTCTTTATGTTGCTTGACCCCAAACAAGAATCCGGCACTAAAATGACTGCGGAGCGGAATGATGCAATGCAAGTCTGGTGTCACTCTGCTTCCTTAGCACAGTTACATAATAAAATCAAGCGTACTCACTTTCTTAATGCGCTTTTTCTATGAGATGCTATGCCATCACAATTCTAGTTTATTCGTCCCTCTTTCCAAAATCCAATTTGTAATATGTTCTCCGGCGCGAATGCTGTTATCACATCTGAATGTAAATATATAGATGGAACCGGAGAGGTTGGCAACATGCATATTATTTTTGGCCAAAGGCGTGGGAATCCTGATATTTTATGACAGTGATATTTATTTTGTTAGCATGTATAGACTGGAAGGCGCACTCAAAATACATCACCGTGCCATTTTTTAAACTTTTATTCAGAAAAAGTAGACTTTTTATCTTCACTTTTAATTCTTCATTTTTGATGCACTTCGATATAAGTTGCTCTTCGCTTATCCTTATTCTTTTTAAAATTGTCATAATTGTAGCATTATTATGAATCCCTTGACATAAAGTATGGTTTTTTTCAGATTCGAGGGGACGAAGGCCACCCAGGTAGCAGGTATACCAGCAGGCAACACCTTGAGGCCCAGCAGTCTGAAGGTTGCCTCATCTATTCTGGCCGGTCAATTCAAGAGTTCCGCTGTCTCGCACTCTGACCCCAGGTCCGAATTGTCTGTCCATCAGCCTCAATCAGAAGGAGCAGTAATTAGTGAAGATGGCACAATGTATATGAAGACCCCAGCAGTCTACTTTAGACGCAGGCAACCACCTCTGACTGGAGACCTCATTGAGCAAATGGTGAAATTATTTATATTTTATTTTTTGTTGAATATATTTGCACTACAGTTGCCACCAAATGCACCAGAAACAGGTAGAGTAGAGGCAGAGCGCTCATTTCCTTGTATGTATGCTTTAAATTCTAATAACTATGTGAATAATTACTCGATAATATACTCGAGAAAAGCATACATCTGGGAGAAAACCATTACATTCAGGGACACATATAACTATTTCTTATGAAGTGTATTTATTCTATTTCGTTTAAGGTGATAAGAGGATTTTTCCCTTTTGGGAAAACAATGTTATATGAAGTTCAATGAAAACTTCAACTCTACGCATATCATTGTGGGTAAATTTCACTACCAGTCCTTGATCACCTTAAATGAAATATGGTGAATACACTCTATATATAAATTATCTACTGGTAAACTCGAGCACCTACTTATAAACGAAACATAACCCTTTCTTCTCTTCATTTAATAATGGATAACTTAGGTTTTATTTTCGTGCAACACACTACATTAAATGGAGTATCTCAATAATACTGTGTTTCCTAGATTTTGACAAATCCTAGTCAATAAAATGTATATAGAGAAAAAGTAAAAAATCCTCCTAGTAGTTTCCTCAAAAAGGCGTGTGAATGTCACATATTGTGAAATGACTCTCCACTTCGAAGGGAAAGTTGGTAGGACGTAATTCTTGATATAGCCTCAATGGAAACCGAAGAAGTCCTCGGCTTACTATCTCGCGACACCGTTGAAACTGTGCTAAGCTTTCGTCTGTACTGTGACAGACATCATCAGAACAGAACTAGGTTTTCTCCCTATGTAAATTTACGTTTGTGCTCCTGCTAATATTGATAATAAACTGGTTTCCTCTAGCCCATTGTTGGCTTCGCTTTAAAAGATATCTTCCTTTTATGGGCTCCCAGCACCTTGTTGATGAGCAGTTTT